CCCCAAAACCCCAAAACCCCAAAACCCCAAAACCCCAAATATAAATACTGTGTTTGAAATAACTAATTTAAAAATGGATACTAAAGAAGAAGAGAAAAAGGAAAGCGCTTCACTCCAGAAGTCATCCAAGGAATTTAAACCTTCCGGCTCGAAAGCAGATGCAGATAATTCGCAGCCAAATGAGATTGCTGAGCTTAACAAGCAGTATACACAGTATGTAAATTATTATTTGAACCAAGGTCTCAACCAAGCAGATGCTGAAGCATGGGCTGCTTACTACATGGATCAATACATTTACCAAGAAGGAAATGACCAAGTCCAAACCGATCTTGAGGGACAGGAGCCTGTTAAGGGCAGCAATCAAGAAGAGGTTCCAGCAGAAGAGGCAGGGGAAAACTCTGACAGCGATGATTTTGAAATCGGCGAATTAGGACCAAAAACAAAGAAACCTCAAGGCGAAACTACAAAAGGACAATACAAAGGTGAACATGATGAAAAATACGATGAAAGTGAAGGAGAAGATGGATATTACGATGAGCTTGGTTTTTACTACAACCCTGACGGCTCCTACTACGATCCTGATGGTGTTTATTTTGATGCTGAAGGCTACGACGAATTTGGAGGATACTATGATGATGAGGCAAATTACATAGAACCTGAAGGAGATGATACTAATGCGAAAGAGTTTAAAGGAAGCAAACAATCTAATGAGGAAGATGATGGATTTGAAGAAGACAAAGAAGATAAATACAATAAGGAGTTTATCAAATATATAATAAATTCCAAACTTCCCGACGACACTGAATTCTTAAACAAGACTAAAAATAGCTGGGCATATCTGAAAGTTGGAAACCTAGAAGAAGGAACCACAATAGAAGATTTACGTGAATATTTCAGTAGCAAAAAGATTCCAGTAAAAGAGATGACTATCATAATGTCTGAAAGTACTAAAAACCCAGTAGCATTCCTCGAGATATATAAGATCTCTGTTGCTAAAAAGGTCCTCAAGGAATGCGGGAAGAAGCTCAAAGATAATACATTGATCATTGAAGTTGACAATTTAAATGAAAAACTATATAATGGAATTCCTACTAGCTATAACAGCTATGAATATGAAGATGATTTTGATGCTAGATATACTCAATACGATCCTGAGCCAAAAGAGTAAGGCCAAGAAGCTAAAGATGCTAAAGGAAATCTAAATAAAGCCTTTCTTTACGCATAGCTAGTAGTAAATATCAGTTTAAACACCATTTCTCTAGAAAAAGGATCTAACTTGGGTTTCAGTTCTAGTATTAGTGATACTATATTTCAATTAATTGAGAACTACCAGGGGTTTTGGGGTTTTGGGGTTTTGGGGTTTTGGGG